CACAACTTACGTTAGGGGTGGATCCCAAATAATGGCGATGACGGTTAAGGGGCTAAGAAAGTGGTGGTAAGTTAGGGAAGGGGTTTTCCGACTATGGATGAGAGGTGGCAGTGGTTTTGGGCAATTGAGACAGTGAGATAGCATGGGGCGACAATCCAAACATCATAAAATAACAATCAAGTTGTTGTTGTGGGCGGCTACAGTGATGTACAGCGGTACGGAGCGATGTGGGGTTATGCGGAATGGTATAGGTGAAAGATAATCACCACATTGGAAAAGACATACTGATGAAACACCATCCAAACTCTCGGTTACAACCCTCGAAGGGGAAACAAACGCAGACGGCTGTCCGAACAGAACTATGAGAAAAAGACACACCAAAACCTAAACCTAGGATAGCCAACAACATATTTATAATAAGTATTAGTAGTTCAAATAAAAGGAAATAGAAAAGCTAAGGAATTGAATAGGAAATTGGTCAACTATATTGTAGCCGCTATGACACCAAGGCCCAAGCTTCTGCATCAATTTTACGGGATTAGGGGAGCTTCGACTTTATTCGTCGAAGCCCTTGGTTCCTTGCAGCATAGAGTTAGTCCAATTACATTGATGATAGCAGAGATATTGTAATCACCTAGCCCTTAAGTTTGAAACATTCTTCTTCTTTCCCTTGGTTCCGTTTGGTTCCCTCGTTTCGCCGACTTAACTGAAATCGCGTTTGAGTTTTTACACTAAACTCAGGCCGCAAACTAAACCCCACGGGCCGCGTTTCAGGATAAACTATTTATCCTGAAAACACAATTAATCAAACTATTGAACCCATCTAAGTCCAAACTTACTGCACCAAACCACCTCCACACCAAAATAATAATAATAATAATAATAAATTTCTTCACTCAACTCTATATAAGCCATAGCTTGGACTCTCCTCTCCCATCACATCCACAACATCAAACCCCTCATTTCTCTTCCTCATCACTCTCTCTCTAGAAGCCATGAATAAACCTCACTCTATCTTCATCCTCTCCTTCCCCCTCCTCCTCCTCCTCGCCGGCCACCCATCCCTCGCCGGAGAAACCCTCCACTCCCTCTGCAGCTTTCTCGGCGGCGATTACGTCGACTACAACTACTGCGTCTCCACTCTCTCCTCAAATCCCGCCGCCTCCACCGCCGACGGCCACACCCTCGCCGTCATCGCCGTCAATCTCACCGTCACCAACGCCACGGCCGTCAAATCCCGCGCCGACTCGCTCTCTCTCTCCTCCACCGATTCCTTCATCCGTTCTTCTCTCCTCAACTGCTCCTCGCTTTACGCCGCCGCCGCACCGGATCTCCACAGCTCCGCCGCCGCCACCGCCGCCAAAAACTACACCGGATCGGCGGCGGTGCTCGCCGACGTGCTCCGAGTTCCGGCGGGATGCGATCAAGGGTTTGAGAGGCAGCAGGGCGCGGTTTCCCCGATTCGGAAGGAAAATAATGCTTTCTCGGACTTAACCACGCTCGCTAAAGCAGTTAATAATTATATGGCTCAGTGATTTTATTTATAGTTTTTTTTTT